GGAGCTGAGTGAGCTGAGCCGCTGCTGGCTGCGGGGCGGCCAGGGGACACGCCGTGCTGCCTGGGATGTGAGTAACGCTGTCCCTGCCACGGGCACTGCCAGGCCTGGGTTCTGCCAGTGCCAGCGTCCTCGTGGGGGCGTTTGGGTTGGCAAGGGCTGTGGGAAACAGCGGGTGCTGGGGCTGCTCCAGCCAGGATGCACAGGGAGGAGTGGGAGGCTGTGGCAGGGATGTAGCAGTGATGCATCAGGTCTTGCAAATCATCGCTGGTGGGTTTTGACCCCCAAAGCGCTCAGGGTGCTGTTGGGTTGGGTTTTCCTCCTGCTAGAGGAGAGCCCAGCTCTGCATTGCCTGCGGGAAGTATGTCCTCATCTCTTTGCTGACTGAGCATAGTTCAGCTGAGAAGGGAGCTTTGCTCCTCACTGCCAGGAAATTCCAAAAGCTACTTTGCAGAAGGACACTGCTTGCTCCACTGCCCACGCTGGCGTCCCCCACAGGGATCCTCCCCGGGGACTGGGGCAGGCACACAGCGTGCCAGGGGCTGGGAGCTGCTGCCGGCGTGCACAGCCCTGCGTACGCAGCTACTGCTGCTGCTGCTGCTGCTGCTGTATAAATAGAAACTTAATGGCTGGGTGACCCACATCCCTCACGCCTGCTGCCCGGCACTGCTGACCCTGCCGCAGGCTAACCAGCGTCCTGGCCAGCTGGCACCTCAGCAGAGCCCCCCAAATGCAGCATCCTGCAGGGCTGGACCCCCTCTGTGGTGGCAGGGGTGCAGAAGAGTGGTGTTGTTTAGTGTATAGCTGGACTTGTTTAGTGTATTTTTAAGCCTTCCTTTGGGGAGGAGGGTGCCTGTGCCTGCTGAGCAGGTTGGCTGCACTGGGGAGAGCCACACTGTGCCCTTTGCCTGTGGGCTGGTGGCCAGGATGGAGTGAGGGTGACCAGGGGGCTCCATGTGCTGCTCCTCGAGCAGATGCCGGCACTGCGGGGTGGAGTCTGTGCCAAGCCAAAGCAGTGCCTTTCCTGCAGCTCCTCCTGGAGCCCTGCAGGCGTCAGCGGGCACTGCTGCCTGGATAACCC